GCGAACTTGCTCTTTTCAATAGTTTTGGTTATTCCTTGCAATATATGAATCTGAAGACTGACTTTCCTATTTATACAACAAAGACCATTAGAATTTTGATAAGGATCGTAGTAAATCTGAAGACTGCTTTGGGAAATACTGCATTCTTAAAGACATTAAGTCTTTCCATTCATGTACATGGGATTCAGCAACATTTTAAAAGTTTTCAGTGTACAAGACTTTTATCTCCTCAGTTAAATTTATTCCTAATATTTTTTGGGTGCTACTGTGGCACTGTGGGTTAATGCATTGGACTGCAAAGCCAGTTTGAACTGCAAGGTCGGTGGTTCAAGCTCACCAGTTGCTCCACAGAAATCCTAAACATTATTGCTATAAGTTGGAACTGATAACTTTCTTTATAGAAGTGTTCACTAACTTTTGTATGATGATCTTGTGCCCTGCAGCTTTACTGAATTTGATTAGCTTCAATAGGTTTTTCTGTGGATTCTTTAGGACTTTTCATATATTGCACCCATCATCTGCAAACAGAGATGCCTACTGTCATCGAGTCAACTGTTACTCACAGTAACCGTATGTAGGGTTTCTGAGGTTGTAAATCTTATGAGGGTAGAAGCCTCCTCTTTCTCCCATGGAGTGGCTGGTGGATTTTAACTGCTGACCTTGTGGTTAGCAGTTCAACATGTAACCCTTGCAAATAGAGTTTTACTTCTTACTATCTGATTTGAATGACTTTTATTTATTTTTCTTTTCTTGCCTAATTGTTTTGGCTAGGGCATCTGATACAAAGTAGAAGAGTAGTGGAGAAAGTGCCTATTCTTGTCTTCTTCCTGATATTAGAAAGCTTTCAGACATTTATCCTTGAATATGATGTACACTGTGGAGTTTTTATGTTTTGTGGAATACTTGGTATTAGGATAATACTAGCTTTAAAGACTGTGTCAGGAAGTAGTCTCTCCTCTTCTACTTTTAGAAGAGTTCAAGTAGGATTCATAATAACTCTTCTTTAAATGTTTAATCGAATTCAGCAATTCATAATTCTTAATTGGGAAGTTCCTGACAACTTATTTGATTTTGTTCTTTCAACACAAAATTTATTTACTTCTTTACCTTTGTACAGTCTTCCATATAGAATACCTACCCCATGTTTAACTCAG